TTGTTGGGTTGATGTTATAGTTTGCCTTATGAAATTCAGAGGAAAGTGAGTTACAAGGCTGCACTCGCCTTGTAGATTGGGAAAAGATGATGCCGGTGGAATATCAAAATCTGCAGGTCTCTGAAATATGCTAAAAAAATGTGGGACGTATTCTGACATTAATGTTCCTTTGACCATGCATCCGTGGTAGAATATTTCATTTGTGTAATGCGTGCATGATCCAAATCCCAAAAGCATCCATTTCACCTTAGCATACAGCTTCTTAACCCCAATTTGAAGTATAAAGGATCAACCTCCTGACAATCGAGGTTCCTGCATAACCTTTGCATCGCCACTTACGCATCAGCAACACAAGCACCGCATTTATACGACATAACTTGGCAGTTTTCGTAGTGTGCTCATGCCCTGCTTTAGCATGTGTGCGAAAATCCCTACAAGTTGCACAAGTATTAAAAGTAAAATATAGCAAGGTGGCAATTTATTTCTCCGAGGTCGTATCAACTCTTTTCTCCGAAAACCCGACATTGTCCTTTGCCTAACTAAAGGCTTTTGAAGAAAGACTTAATATTTTTTGCAAAAGCTCTAATCCCCATCACCCTTTTTGCAGTTTTAGTTGATGAAATATTTTCTGCCTCAAGTTTCACTAAAATTAGATTCATTTTCAAAAAAACTCCGCCAACGCATCGCTAACTTTGAGAGAACTGATGCCTACAGTCATTAATGGCCTTGAGCATACAATTTCGACTTTCTGCTTTAAAAAACAAACATTCTCCCAAGGAACCACAATAAAATAAACGCCCATAGTTGACACAAGAGAATTTTTACCACTAAAGAACAATTGGCAGTAGATTTAGGATACATATGATTAACAGTACCATTCAATTAGTGATCCCCTTGCAATGCTTATAAGCACTGCAAGATTATCAACTAAGGGGAGTTCCTAACTGCTAACGTTGAAATTGAAGTTGTGGCAAAAGCCTCAATTTGGTGTTTCTTATAAGCAACCACTCTTTGTACTTTACAACTTGTCTTACAATGTTGTCGTTAAAGAACTCAACCGATTCCACTTTTCCATAATCTTCCACTGCAAACTCAGTCGGAGGCCCAATGCGTCTTACCTGGTTTGCCTCCTGGAAACAGTTCATGCCCACCTTAGCTCTCAACTGAATGCTCATGCAGTACCACCAAACAGGCGCAAACATTATTTGTATTACATCGAAGAGACAGGTATAATTGTCGGCTGTTGCCTTCCATAAGCAGAAACTCACATACTTCGTGGGTGTTACTGCAAATTGTCTGTTGTACAAATAAGCGCATAACTTTGCAATGGCGAAAAGTAGCTTGACGGGGACTGAAAAACGATAGTAATATGAGAGAAGGGCAAGTCCTTCCCCAGTCTCTTTAAGTTTGCCGCTGAGACTAGTGAACAGAGATAACATGAAGAAAGATTTGGGAGATGTATTACGAAGATACAAGGAACTAGCATCCAGCCGAAGCTGAAGTGCGTCTACATGCCGGCTGAGTAAAATGACCAGCGAAAGGGGAACTAGAGCATCGCAATAGAGGATGCAATGTATGTTTGCCCAGGCAAGGAGAAAAGGATGTATTCGCATGTCAAAATCACATATCGTTAGGTTACACACCTTCCAGTAGTCAGTGAGAATCAGCACGGGGATGGAGGATATGAGAGCAATTAAAAATGCAGGACATAGACTTGAAAAGGTGCTAGGAGGGTGAATTGTTTCCCATCCTATTCGAAAACACGTTACAACCATGAGATTGCATCTAAAAGAACCAAAGAAATACCGTACAAAGGCAAGTGTTTTGCAGTGGATGGGTCCAGCACGAAACATGGGATCAAAAGGACTTAGTAAACCTTCTTCGCTGATATTTACTTTGTAGGCAACAATCGTGGGCAGTAGCAATGAGAAACGTAGGCAGATCAACTCTCCAATGTTCACAAAAAGGCTAGAAAAGACTTCGGCATAGCCAAAAAGGCGATGATAATGCGCATGCCCATTTGATAGCAATAGAAAGATGATAAAAGAACTTGCGATAATCCCGCACAAGCTAAGTGGCAGTGAAAAAAGAGCAATTGCTTGACAAGAGTAATAGTAGTACTGCAGATCACTTCGTATTATATCTAATAACGCTTGAGGCGCACCGCTTCTCAAATATGTTGAGTTCATGCTTATACGGCAGTCGGAAGCCCAAATCCACTGTACAACGACTGACAACGTCGTGATCGATAATTCGGACGCCATCCATGGCGGCAAAAGACATTGCTTGAATTATGGTGGTACAGACGGGAGGAGTATCTGAGTGACAGTCTCAAATCATCTCTGATCATTGGGATGGATAAGTAGGCTTTGAAAACGCATTATAAACAGCGTCAAGGGGGGCGAAATGCAAATTCATTTGTTACGAAGGAAGTTAACTAACAAATACAGAAGGGTTTCAAAGCACCTTGCTAATACCCAACATACAATCGCAAAATATTTCTTTATCATAATCTTTATATGCACAGCAAACATGCACATAAAATGATCCCACTCATCTTAACATACTCGGTGTGTAACACTCCGCGGAGTTAAAATTGATGTAATAAAGCCCACGACTGTTTGTAACGATCCATGGACGGGATTTGGAGCATGTTCCTTCAGACGAGAAAGTTCTCGCATCTCATTAATTTTCCCAGTCTTAAAGATAAAGGAAACTGTTCCTATGTTTAACCACATTCTTAGTCTTATAAGCACCTAAAAGTCGTCTGTTTCGTATTCTACAAAAGCTATCGGTTGCATGGGTCCATGCGTTACTAAGGTGCAGAGAAGTATTTTGAAAAGGTAAACAGCGAAACAAACGACAGCTTGGAATGCAGTGTTGTTTCTCATAGGGTGTTTTTAGGTACAGGAAAGACCTGATGGCAAGTACTACGAATTGTAAGCCGTGAGTTTTTATAATACTTTGGATGTTTGTAAATCTCACATCGTTGCGGCTTGCAGCCTGGATACGGCACCATAAGCGGTTAAGCTGACCCCTTTACCTTGCTAGCAGCTCTAACACCTCCTGCACACTGATTATAGTCAGTCGTCCTAAGGATTATCCCTCCTCCGGAGATTTACTCGCATACCTAAAGAGCCCATCGTATCTGTGCCTCAATACAAAATCGCCACGTCGACTTTGAGCACTGAGATATGGCAAGATTCTAGATTTTCCGGAAGCACCACGTTGCCCCATTGGGAGGGGTGTCCCACACACTGTGTCACCATTCACAAGCCTTTTCTCTCCGCTAAATACGCGTGATTACGTGTACTATGCTCCCTGCTATCTTCATGGAAGACTCAAAATGCTATTGACCACCTTCTACAAGCTTCTGCCACCATCTACCATAGACCTTTTGCAATAGATAAGTCAACGCATGAGGAAACAGAATGAAATTTGCCTTTAAATCAATGCTCAAAAATCTTTAATAAAAACAACTAAGATGCCTGACAAATGTTATTTCGAATTTGAGTTTTATTTAATGTGAAGACAAAGAAGTGTATGCTAGTCGGAAAGCGATGATATAGTTGACTTAGGTTATTGTTTCAGGCATCTTCTTTATTCGTAATAAGTGCACAAAAAGCAAATTGTCGTGAATGATCGTGTTAAATGCTTAATCATCCTTCATCTTAAGAAATTCGGGCTAAAGAGTGTCAATAGCCAAAATTCAAACTCCATACGAAGTGTAATCTGCTGGCATTTTATCTGTTTTTTAATTATCCACCCAACGACCTTGACTCAAAACGTCTTGGCAACACATTTTCGAAATGGTAGGATTTGTGCTTTGCAAGCATAACCATTTTAGTCTGTAAAAGCAAATAAAAACTCGTATATTAGTGGGAACTCTTTAAAGTCGACCATTCCAAGGTGTTATTCATACCGGAAGGTAAACGGGTGTTCAGCTGTTGATAGCAGTTTATTTGGCGACCCAGAGCGACTCAAGACCATAAAGGTAAGAAGACATGCAAATTTTTAAAGGATTAGATGATGGATCGTCAAAAAATTTACAACCGAAGGGAGGATGATATCAAAATCAACGTTTTCTGCAATCGCACAAGGGCCTTTAACTGCCCAATTGAAAAACTGCACGGAAAAATTGTTAAAACGCTTTTACCTGAATCTGATCGTGCAAGGGAGCTAATGTAAGGGGGTAACTTACAAGTTCAATTAAGAATAAAAAACGGGAAAAGCAACGAGAAATCTATATTTTTACCGAAATCGGAAATGGAACGGATCTTGAACAGTGCACGTGTATTAACTGACGATGAATTAAAAGAAAAGGAAATGAAGGAAAGAGAACTAAAAGAAAAACTAATGGCTAGTATTGAATTGCAATATATTAAACTGTGGACTTCACGTCTCTTTGACATGTCATTCTTATTTTCGCGCTTACCCGAATGGGAACTAGACAAGTTTTTCCAGCTTTCTTCTTCAAATGCTGTCCGACTGTTCTGTACGTCTATGCTTGAGTTCTTTGAAGAAAGTGTGTGGAGCTTTAGGACTTGATGCCGATGGTTTCGTCTGCTTGCATTTGTACTAATTGGCAACATTTTGCGGATCGGCTTGTATTTTCAAAGTGTTTTGTGGAGAACAGTTATTCTTTTTATCACCGACCTGATTTTTGTAACTCCATTTTTAACACTGAAAATGTCCTATAGCCAGATGAACACGATTAACACACAATAATTTCTCTTTCCAGGCAGGTTGTGGTTCTTCCGTCTTACTAGTTGCTTTAAAGCAGCAAACACTTGCTTGCATTTCCCAGACGCTTCAAGTATCATACTAAGTAATGAAGATTTATATCCTCATAATAAAGACCCAATCCCCCAAAAAGTTGAATTATTCTTCGTCACCTGATGTACTGTGCCAAGGAATCTGCTCGTGTTTTGGCTTACGCACCCTCCTTTAGTGTTAAGAACTTCATAGATTTTGACCATATCACATAATTTACGATCTAGGTCGAATCAACCAATCGAAAAGATGAGATGAAGAAGCTAGACATGGAGCGTCGTGCAAACGAGAAACTAAATGAGTTAGAGGAGGAGGCAAGGCAGAAGGCGCAATATCTCCTGTCGAAAGCGATGGAACAGCGCCAGGATGAAGAGGAAGAAATTAAGCAGCTGAACGCCGCCATCACAAATGCAAAGATCCAGACTATTCGTGATGCACAGGTAATGGAAAAGCAACAAATTAAGAAAGAGTTAGCCGAGGAGAACGAACGCCTTGATCGCATGATGGAAATGGATCGTCAGAATGCACTCCAGGTCCAGGCTGCTATTGAAGCGAAAAGAAAAGAAGAAGTACTGAGTCGTTATTTTAAAATGCTATGAATACGCCTGTTAGGGTCAAAAAGTTTCAAAATGAAATTAACATTTAAACTATCTTTAAATACTTGTTTTCGTCAACGAATCAGCAGTCCTCATAAGAACATTTTGGCACCCCTCATTCCTTTGAGATACCCAATGACCACAAGGCAGATCTGCAATCTCAGAACCCTTATTTTACAGGAAATGCTGGGAGCATGTGAAATAATCAAGCAGATAAACCAGAATGAGCAGGAGCGTCTACTGAGATTGGAAAAGGCGGAGCAGGAGAATATGGCTGCGCGTAAGAAGATAGCGAGCGAGATGCTGGAAGAGATGAAGTGTAGAACTGACAGAAAGACCAAGCAACAGCTCCTTAGGGAGGAACTTGATAAATGTACAGATTTAGCACGCAAAATGCGGTTGAAGAAAGCTGAGGAGGAAAGACTGCTGGATCTGAAAATTATGCAAGAACAGAAGGCTAAGGCTGTGAGTGAATTGGTTCTGTTTGGATTGCTGCTTTTTATTAGCACCATGGTTTGGATCCCCTCCTCAACGTTCTTAAAAGGTTATTTTAAGCGGCTTAGTAAGCGAAATTATTTCTTTGGCGTCATAATTTTATTAACATTACAAATGTTATTGCAAATGAATAACATACTTATGTAAGCATCTCTTTTCAGCAATTGTCAGAGTATAGACATAAAATTCCATTAATTGTCGTGGCAAGCTCACTGATTTTTCCATTGTGAGGTGACTTTTACGCACTCATTGGTTTACTCGTAAGTGTAGGGGTATGAAAGACATTTACAGATGGTTAGTGTAAATTTTGTGCAACAGAAATTCACAGCTTCAGCCTGGGCATCAAGCGGTTAGCCCATTCGCCCTATTCTACAGGATCGTGAGGCTGCCTTTGAGGAGGAACAGCGACTCATCCGCTATGAGAAGGAGAGCGAGACGAATCGATTACGAGGACTTCAGGAGCGTGCCATTGACCTGCAGGCGGAGAAGGACGCTCTGCGTGCCAAGCGGGCCATGGAAGAGAATGAACGGCAATGGCGTCGGAAGGAACTAGCAGCCGCCAGGAGAGCCCAGGAGGCCAGAGAAGAAATGAACCGCGAGCGCATTAGAGCAGAGGAAAATAAGATTCGTCTTCTCGCCATGGAGGCAACGCGCAATAAAATGGACTTTGAACGAGTCTTGCAGTAAAGCTTTATTTTTCTCTTACGAAGATAGGCTTGCGCGCAACTTTTTGCTCTTTATTGAGAATAGCTAAATAAATGATAGCAACTTGGAATATTGGACCCTCTTACATGATGTGAGGTTTTGTTTTCAAAATAGGCTCATTTGTACTAAAAATGATGCATTCGAGATCCTTTTGAAATTTGTCTCTTCAGGCACCAAAAAGAATTGATAGAAAAGGACAGACTTGAGGAGGAAAGGCGCAACAAGATGAAAATGGAATTCTGCAATGATTTGAAGAAACAGATATGTGAAAAGGAGCAGCAACGAATTGCAGAGCGCAATGCCTTCTTTGAAGAGGGTGTGAGGATGGAAGAAGAGGCACGACTGCGTCGTCTGCGTCTGGAAGATGCTAAGAACCGTAAAATGGAAGAACTCAGGCACGTTGACGTTCACATACTAAGTCTTTAAGTAAACCAATGCTTAAACAATCAAGCTCTGGTGTGTATTATTAAGTTGTTATTATCAAGACAATACTTTTGTTCGAAATAATAGGAAGAACATTTGCTACCGTTTTCATTCCAAAACTCAACGAAGATTTTGCTTTTAGAACATGCACAATAACCTCATCTCCTGATTCAACTTTGTAGAAAGGCTGGAATACCGGAGAAATACTTGGCAGAAATTGAAAGAAAGGCTTGGAGGTTGAATATTACCAGCGCGCAAATTTGAGCACTGGCAAACATGGTGATACCTATCCACACATACCTACACATAGAGCATATGATTAAATGCTTCCCGCGAATAAACATTTTACGGTTTTTTACAGTTGGATTTTCGAGGAACATGCGCAAGCTGTGCTTTCAGCGGACAGCAACAGAATTCACCTTGTTACAAACGGGATTGGTCATTTGTAATGTTCCTGCATGCGGGATTTTCAGGGTATATGTCTTTGCCATCGTCGTAATGGGTACAATAATGCGTACGTGGCTGATGTTTAGGCGTCAGAGTGTGCTTGGGAGTGATTCTGCTTGTCTATGTGACTTCAGCTGTGCGCAGTCCTAGCAAATGGCAGAATTTGGCCTTCAAGCGGTTGTAGAGCGCTTAGAGCACATTACTGGTCACTGAGGCCCAATCAGGCGTGAGTGATTGCATGGAACAGGTTGACGTGCTCTCCCCCTCATTCAAGAACCATTATTCATCATTCTCCTGACCAGCCTTCTTTATCTAGAATCATGCAATTTTCAAGTCTACCCATTAATGCTACCAGTTTGGGGAGGGTCTTAACGTCAAAGACGCATGCCGATAGTCCCACGTCTTAATTTGATGATGGTGTCTATATTCTTGCAACCAGAATGCTTTATATCCAATTAGTAGTTTTATAGATAAATTGTGACCCGAATGCAGTTTGTAGCCTCTTTGAGTCTCAGCTGCTTCCACAGGAGTTCGCTTACTTATACCAGCTTTAGTAGTATCCAGGTAGCTAATAATGTAATATATAATAGATTGTTTAAGTGTACCTTTATAGGGAGCAGGTAGGAAGCAATTTGGAACGTAAATCCCGTGCGTGAGGACCGTGAGGAATCTCTCTCCAGGTGACATCGGCCATTCGGCTCATCTGTTCTCCTATACCCCATTCTTTCTGTAATTAATGCCTAATAACTCAACTGCAACCAACCCTCTCTTTAAGTCCGTGGTTCGAGGGCATCAGAGTAGACAGGCATTTCCTACAGACACATTGAGCAATACAGGAAAAGACAAAAGGCAGTGCTTATGGCGGTCCGATCTGTTGGCTACTCAAGAACGACGTTTGAACTAAATTTAATTACATGGTTAGTCTACTGAAAAGGGGAATTCAAGGTAGTTTTGCTACATGATTGGCCAATCATCTGCAACTGTTTTATTGGGCTGCCAGGATCAAAGGAATGATTAAATCTTGAAGTAGTTACCTCATCTTATTCTGTGGTGGCCGATTAAAGTCGCTTAAGTGCAGTTATTGTAGCAACAAATAAACTGTATGAGCAAGTGCAGAACTGATAATCTCCCAAGCATTCAACCAAGCCTTGATACCAGTGAAGAAAGCGTTAATCTGTGAAGAAAATCTAACAGAATGATCATAATCCCCGTTCTACTGCAGTGCTTAGCGTCAGTCAGAGTTTACATTATGTTCGAGCAATACCTACGGAAATGACTTTGAATCCAATTGAAAATATTTTAATTGCTTTAAAACCTGAATTCGCGGCCCCCCATGGTTCTGATTAAAGATTAAGCTAATGAATCGCGTAATATTAAAGACTCCAATTTACTGCTGCGAGACGAAGTGGATGAATTGATGCTCCATTTATGAAATCATTATGAGGGAAGACATTTCAACTAATTTACGACCTTCATTGTCCTTATTTGCCCATTAAACGGCGGCTCCTAAAATAAGCGATTTAGCCTATTTTTTAGTCGTTCGGTGCTTCTCTATGAGTTCTGCACAGAGGAGGTACCGTTTCCATTTATTTATTTTATTTGTGTTTATTTTTTAATGTTTTTGTCACTGATGAACGCATGTCGTGGTCCTGTCTTGTAAGTTTAAAGAATAGAGGATGAACACGATTATGTTCTTAGCGCATTTCTACATATAGATAAAATGCACCTCTGTTTGAGGCCTGGTTTGAGTCTGATTTTGGTTATTCTTGCAAACATTTCATCACTTACTCACATACTTAAAATATCGCCAACGTTTACTGTCGTTAAGTATTTCTTTAGGTTCATCTTCAAACCAGTTAAATCAGATAAATCTCCCTCGACGTCAGCCTCAACAGCAAATGTACGGCAATGTGTACTTACGCAGTACTTTAGACTCTTAAGAGGCCCCTTTTTACACCAACCAATCCAATCTCCTCTCCGTCCTCGACTGCTAGAACCGCAAATAAGCCCATACCCACTGCAAAAGTTGTTCCCATAAAGCAAGTCCTTGTACAAAATCTTGACTTTACTATAGAAACATTGATACGCCAAAACCTCGAAGCCCCTCCCCGGATTTCGAATTGACGGATGTAGAAACTAGTCCTGGTATTGTATCTTGACAATCGTTCATATTTTATCCATAGCCTCGGGAATAAATGAACACTCTTGCATAGATAAGCTTGTGGAGGATGTTCTGTATGTCGATGAACTCGATGGTCAAACCTCGGTGTCTCCGTCTTGGTTGAATGATGATGTCGAGCCGGTTGAAGATAATGGTCAAACCGCCAAGCTCGGCCCTGGTTCAGGCTCTACACCAGTGGGTGTTATGCCAAAGTCTCCTTCTTTCTCTCCACGACGTCCTGGTTTAAAAGCCCTTCTCAAAAAATCGGCACCTGTTTTCACCCCACTATCTCAAAATTCTTTTTCGCCGTCCCCTATAAAGACGTTGACCACTGCGTCTCACCCTACGGTACACAAGAAGACCGATTTGAGGCAGACTTCTCTGCCACCGACGGAACCGACTCCACCTCAGGAGTTAGGAATCCTCATTTCGTCAAGCTTTCTAAAAGCTATTAATGAGGCTTGTGATGCGATTCAGGCTATGCCTCTTGAAAAGTTAATCAACTGTTTTGAAGAACAAATATCTAGTATAACGCGATTACTGACTGAAAGAAGTAATTACCAGAATTCATTAGCGGAATCTTACGGCAAACAAAAATGTCAGCAAAAACGGCGTCGGTTTTCCAGTGCCAGTAAATCATCAGTTTGTACGGAGCCTACCAGCGCGAACGGAGCGGCCAGTGATGCTGTTGATAGCTCCAACGGTTTGAGGGGCTCTGTGGAGCAGGCACCCTCTTTATTGCCTGTGACGATTATCAATCGATCTAAGCCTAAAGAGCCGAAATTTGAGGCCGATACTGGTGAGGGGAGTGTCTTTCTACCATTGAGCAGTCGTCAGTCGAAATGGGGTATGTTGCGACATACATATATTATTAATTTGCCATGATTTTATAGACATAGCCTCTGAGAGTATTGATTACAAAGACCAACCTGATGATGGATCAACTGGAGAATTCGATGGAACTGATCGATTCCCTCACTCAAATACCATGATGGATGTGTTTAAGCGCATATTTGGTCTCCGCACCTTTAGACGGAATCAGCTACAGGCTATCAATGCTGCTTTATTAGGAAAGGACTGCTTTGTTATCATGCCGACGGGTTTGTTCAGCTTTTAGGATGTGCGCTTATGTCTAGGTGGTGGAAAAAGTCTCTGCTATCAACTCCCAGGTGTAGTTGAAGAAGGTCTCACGATTATTGTGTCTCCTCTTAAGTCTCTCATTTTGGATCAAGTGAACAAATTGCAGTCTCTTGGTGTAAGCTCCTTCCTGCACCGTTTATCCACTTCTAACTCCAGGTTCATGCAGCTAGCCTTTCCGGTGATGTTCCACTCTCAGAATGTGATCGCATCTTCACTTCATTGCACACAATGAAGTTGGGCATCAGTATTCTCTTTGTAACGCCGGAAAAGGTGCAAAATTTATACACTGTCGCAATTCACACATTACTTTGACTTCAAAACTGTTCTTTTGCTCTGCTAGATTGCTGTCTCAGGGAAGCTAAAACAGGTCATGGAAGAATTGTACAGGAGAAATAAGCTGGCACGCTTTGTGATCGACGAGGCACATTGCGTGAGTCAGGTGAGTACGTGATAGTTGTGATTATATCTTGGTTTCGAGATGTTAATTGCTCCGTTGTGTGTTCGTTCTGTTATGGAGCGACTCCTGGAGCCTTGGGTCTTAGACCGTTGTCGAATCCACTTCTTCAGTCGAACTATTGGCCAAGCTTTGCTAGAAAAATAAGCTCTTTTCAACTTCGAGTCCAGTTTTGTACCAATTGCTACCTTGCACATGAGGGCCTTCAATTTCACTAGAACTATCCCTTCGGATTTGGCTTTTTTCCTTGCATATATCTTGCTTTCACATATTTTTTTTCTTATTCAGTTTTGATAACTTCCATAAATTTGTTTTGTTTTGTAAAAACTAGTGGGGACATGATTTTCGTCCCGATTATCGAAATTTGCGAATCCTGCGCGAGAACTTTCCTAAGGTGCCCATGATGGCCATGACTGCTACGGCAACTCCTTTAGTGCGGCAGGACATCCTCCATCAACTGCAAATGTCTAACACAAAGTGGTCGGTTTTCATGTTTGTCTTTAATGTTGTCTCTGAATGTCAACGCTTATTTTGGTTTCGTTCTACGGTCCTGAACTAAAGTCAAATGGTCATACTCAAGTGATGCATTGGGATGGTTATCCACTCTTCTCTTCGTTGCTTTATTGTTTTTTATGCCTTTCACTTTATTTGCTCGCCCTTTTTTTAACCAGGCTTTCTAAAAACACGGACGTGTAGGGTGGTCATGAGGTAGTAGTTTATTCCACTTCCGATCGTCTAAAACTAGAAGTTGGTCATCAGTAAAGGAAATATGAAGGAAGTGCAGTGTATAAATTTTCCGTCTGGAGACTGGGGCTTTCTTTTGGTTGAATAATTCGCTTGAAATTAAAAATTGAATTTTATGCGATAGTTTCAAGTGCATGAACCTCGGTCTTATTTGCTTAGTGAACAATTCTGCACTTCACCGCTCATACAAACCAAGCAGTCTTGTGACGATGATGTATTCCGTCTTGGACATGTGTAGTAGGTAATAAGTAGATACACTTGAAGACAACAAATTATACGTTTACTTGAACTCTGACTTCAAAGCCACCTCTTACTACTAATTGGTGGAAGAAAACAAACGAAGCTGATTTATTTTTTAGCGTGAGAATGGATACTATCATTTGCAGGTTTTGGGTTTTATCTCTTATCTCCTAGTTCGTCATCCATAACTTTTCTACCATTTCTGGATCGTGTCTTGCTCAATTGATACTCAAGGTAGTGGCTCTTTTGGGGAGTCAAACTAACAGAAATTTGGTGGGCAGATTTAAAAGACAGGTACATTTCCAGAGCAATGGCTAACTGTTACCATGCTATTTCGATGTTCATACTTTCTTGGTTGACTTACGCCTGAATTTTTGGAGGCCTTATTACTGTTAACAAGTACATTGGCATAGGTGCTAACTTTTTTGCTAAATACGTGTTTTCTGATTGTACGGTAACTTACTATTTTTTATAATTTTGCGGGACGGTTCGTTTCAGCGTGGGTACGAGGAATTTCCGTTTCTATCAGGGAAATGTCACATTGCTTACGGTTTTTTTTACACAGGTTCATTCAAAGTTTTAACAGGACAAACCTCAAGTTTGAGGTGCGTTCGAAACGTTTGAAGAACTGTTCAAAGGACGTAATTCAGCTTATCGAAACGAAATTCTCGGCCCTTTCAGGCATTGTTTACTGCCTGTCTCGCAACGAGTGCGATACCCTTGCAGAGGAGCTTACTGCTGCTGGACTGCCAGCCAAAGCCTACCACGCTGGCATGACTGACGCTGCCCGCAAACGCGTTCAGGAGGCCTGGATTCAGGAGGACAACTTTAAGGTTCTACATCACTACCACCGCTGCTTCTACTACTACTACTACTACCACTACTGCTACTACTACTACTTTTTGTTGATCCCCTTTATAGATTGTTTGTGCGACGATTGCCTTCGGCATGGGCATTGATAAGCCGGATGTGCGCTTTGTGATACACCATTCAATTCCAAAATCCATTGAAGGTTATTATCAGGAGGCTGGTCGTGCTGGTCGTGACGGTCTCCCCTCTACCTGCATACTGTACTACAACTGGCGTGACGTCGTTAGACTCAAAAAGCTTATTCATTGTGAGCCTACTGCTGCACCAATATTTTTTTTCAAGAATATCTTCATTTTATCAGGTCTCATTCATTTTTTTTACTCATGAGTTGATAGTGCTTTTCACGTTCTCAGTATTACTCGTAACGCTTTTTTTTTGGGAGATTGCATGTGGTAAAAACGTATGGTACGGTCTTACGATTGCCTTATTGGTGTCGAACAGCGAGCTGTCCGAAAGGGCATGGAGATGGGGCAGTAAAGTTGCACGAAGACGCTCTCTTCAAGATGGTCTCTTACTGTGACAACGTGGTCGACTGCAGACGGCGCCTGATTTTGGCTCACTTTGGCGAGGCTTTTGACCCTGCGAATTGCGCTCTTGTAGCGGGCTGCGAGTGCGACAACTGTCACCGGGCGGAGCACCAGCAGCTGGCCCAGCGCGACCTCACTATCGACGCCAAGGCCTTAGTTGAGGCCGTCTCAGCCCTTGTTCAGCGTCGGCGCAATGTCACTCTCAACTATCTTGTCGACGTCTTCAGGGGTAGGCTTCCCTATACTTTTTTTGGAACTCAGTGTGCTCTTCGAGATGATTGGGTGATGCGAAGATTGTAAGTCACCACTCTTTACCCAGGTGCACAAACGGCCCAAGTTCAGAGAAATCAGGATCATAGCCTCGTAATTTATGGCAGGGGTTCGAACTACTCAAAGACAGATGCAGAACGCCTTCTTCATCGTCTGCTCGCCGACAGAGTGCTCACTGAGGAATTTGCCATTACTGCTATGGACACGGTTGCTGCTTATCTCCGTCCTGGTCCTAGAGCAAGCCTTCTTCTCTCCGGCAGCTTGCAGGTATTTTCTCTTTGTGGGTTACACCCTCAAATACAGTATGATACACAGTCTTGTGTAGACTCCTCAATTTATATTCCTTTTAAATCAAGTGAATCAAGGGTGCTCTATTTTTTACAAGAAAGGAGGTTAAGCCTCGTAGTGTGTTGAGCTCATGGGTGTAAATAGACAAAAGGAATCCACTAGCTGAAAGTTTGTTGCGCTTTTTTAATTGTAGATTTTGCTCCCGGTGGCAGTGAACGTGAAGACAGGCAGAACTGACGTCTCAGTGGTGGGAGAGCAGCCGAAGGACAAGCTCGCTAGCGTTCGTAAGGAGTGCTATGAGGCTCTCGTCAAAACCGCTAAACAACTTAGTGAGGATTTTTCCTCTTTACTATTTAACCATTCGGTAAGGTGTTGAGGCTCGTCTTTCGTGATTTTAGCCTCTCAACAGGGCATCTCCAACTACGCAATAGTTTTCCCCAACGAGATGCTTCTCGAGATAGCAAATCTGCTTCCGACATCGCAGGAGGAGTTGCTGAGGATACCGCAATGCACAGAGTACAAGTTGACTCGTTTCAATGCTACTGAAGCTTTCCTCGATGTAACACTTAACTACTTCTCCATCCTTGGTGGTGAGTTCAGTTTGAAATAGTTTGCTATCAGCAAAATCATTGTTTGTATGGTAAATCTCATACTACTTAAATTCGCACCTTTGGCTATTACGTTGATTACTCTTCTGTTCCATCGCATAAGCCCCGGGTAGCAAATTTTATGGAATTTTTACGGGACTGAAGTTTTCACTAGGTTTTATCGATTGTTGCTGGCAGCCGTGGGTCCGCTTTTCACCCTTCCATTCGCCTACTCTTATAGCCATCAAAGCGGAGGAAAATGAATTTAAAAAGCACAGCGAACTTCTTGTAAAGCAGACGATGGTGGTGCCCAAACCCCTCAAAGGCGTTGGCGCAGGCCAGAGATCTCTCAAAAGGGTACTCGCCTCGAACTACTTTGGCAAAGTACGCAATCACTGAAATGTGCTTCATTGTGATGTTACGTCCCTTTTCAGTAGTTTTAGCTATGGATAAGTTGAATTCCTGTCCCTAGTTCCGTTGTTACGTTACGTTGTATTGTTTATGCTGGGTCTCGGTAGTTACACTCATAAGGCAACAAATGGGTTAAAATTGTTTTATGCGCTGTATCCTTTCAAAGTAATTAGTTAGAATATTCACATTCTTATCTGGGTAGTTTTTTCGGAACCAACTGTCGCCGTGATCTGGATTGTATCTCGACGACCTAGGCTTGGTGTTGCAATACACCAAATACCGGTATTGAGATCCATAACTCCAGTTACAAACACTGGAACTGAATTCAAGGCGCCTCCCCCTTGAGACTCACATATTGTTGTTGTTTGTGTGTTAAATCAAAATATATTTACCTGCCACAGAAACGATTTAGTTGCACAAGAAGCTCTAGAAGAGGACCTCAGAAACACGCGGGAGGTGGCACAGTCAATAGACGACTTATCACAAAACAACCGGCTGTGTCTGCTCCGGTCTCCTCCTCTGGCCCCGATTGGCTAAGGTGCGTTGTTTCCATTCTCATTGGGAGTTTTTCACAATTTTCATTCGTTGATTGTTTTGGTTTACTGACTCTTTTCACCTCAAGTGTAGACTTTATCGCTTAATTTACCAAATTCATAAAATGTAGTTAGTTTTACGTAAAACCTACCTCACATTTGTCTCTAGATCGGATTCAGCCGTTGGGGGAAAATTTAAACCGAAGCTAATGAAATTGACGACTCGATTTGAGTAGTACATCGCATTTCTGTTTCGTATTCCGAGTGATCTTTCCCGCGCTCGGTGCATGTGTCTTCTCCCTGCCTTTATTGTAAAGACCTTTTGTTATAAATTTTTGTAATATACGTCAGGATCGTGTTGCAAATACCTCCTTACGCATCGGCTGATATGAATGTACTCAAAGCTTCTCTGTAAAACCATACCTTCTTCTTGGAGAGCTGATTGCACTTTTGGTTGCTGATGCAGCACCCGCGAGGCAGGTGTAAGCGCAGAGCTGTGACATTGTCAACTCAGGATTGACCACGTTATCTGCTCTGCCACCGTTTGTTAACGTGATTCCCGCTAGCCGTCGATTACGCACAGGAAGCCCAGTTAACTTAATGATGTATATGAATTCATTCCCCCAAATTTCTGATTAAAGTTTGGGGATGTTCAGAGAGTCAAGGCATCACCGAATGTCCTATAGACGCTTGACATCATACTTAAAAATTTCGCTCAGTTTGTGGAGTCACAAAAGCGCCTGGAAGCATTAATTTTGGCTAATTGCTGCAGCCCTCTCACAAGTCTGTTGGCGTAGAAGCAGTTGTACTGTTCATTCCATTGTAGCTTTATCCTCGAGTCAAATTTTAACTTTTAGAAGTGGTTCTTAACCATCTACCACAAAAAGGAAATCGCACTTTTTTCACTCATGAAAAGCAATTAAGTGATATCGAGTGGTTTTCAAAGTTACTACCAGCACGGTATCTGAATGCGGAATGATGCATTATGTAAGCATGATGCAATGATGTTTCAAAAGGGAAGGGTCCGAGAAAGCCAAGTAGGAACGTAGAAAATGGTTGAGTAAGGGAGAAAGGCGATTACAAAGAGGCGAGTTCGGAGGGGAGATTCAGCTCAGTGATGTCGCGAAAATGAAGCAGTAAGGCCATCAGTTTAGTTAGACGAGGCACGGTGGCCGAAGAGGCGGAACCTGCAGCCTTGGGTAGACCTGTCAGTCCGCCGCTACCACCGCCACCTCCATGAGCCGCACCACTGGTAGCCTCGAGGAGAGTGGAGTCAGTCTCGCCAGCGCTATTCTCGATATGCCAGAGGATGGCGCGGTTCAATGCCCCAGCTATCAACTCGGCGTGACGTGCACCCAATAATGAACCGTAGATACTGTCTCCCGGCTCCTCAAAGGCCAAAAGGGCCATCGTGTTTTCCATCTCGTGCAACAGTTGAGGGTATTCTGAAAGACGATGACTTAGTGGACCGGCTAGGTGGGACTGCGCGAATGTTAACGCCTCTTCCAACCGGTGGCCACGAATCAATTCTAGCATTTGAAGCTGCCGCAGCTATAGCAGTTTTAGAATAGTTGACATAAATAGGACAACTCCAAATTTCTATGACTTATGCAGCCCAGCTGTTATGCCACAGAAATAAAGAAACTAATTGTGCTGTCCAATAGCTAGTTAAAAGACAGTATGATACCTGAAATTATGCCGGTTTTGATGGTATTAAATGGTCCCATGTAATTCGTGACAGATATTTAATCAAATTACAGTACTTATTACTTTGACAGTCCAAAAAATTAGAGATATGGAAATACCAGTAGTAATTCAAACAAGACTTACAGTTTACTTCAAAGTGCATGAGGTGCAGAGAAAATAAACTGGACTTATACCAAGAATAGTGTTTACAAAATCGTGTACAGAAGTTCACTTCAAAACGCGTACAAGAGACTTACCTGAAAGTAAATGTAGGGGTTCTTTTCAAACAATTCTGGCCAAAGTTGGTTGACTTTGTCAATAGTTTCCTCGATGCGTCGGCTGAGGACAGCCTCACGAATTTCCATTCTCTCGGCAAGGCTTGCACCAGTAGAGTGGATCTCCGACAAGGGTTGAGAAATACCGATCTCCTTGCTAAACTTTTCCGCAGCATCTTTGTAACCCTCTACCACAAGATATTCAAGGATAAGGCGATTTATTTCCTGACGAGTCAACGTGAGCCCAGAAGGAGCACCAAGGCATTCAAATGCAGTATACGAAGCAGTTGATGGCTGGGCTTCCGTAGTCTTGGTGGCGCTTTGTTCCCCCTGGTCCGTTATTTGCGTCGAACTCATTGTTTTCGAGGCCGAAAATACAGTCTCTAAAAAATAAATCCAATCAAATCAATCTCGATGAGAGAGAATGCCACTACTACCAACAATTCCGATACATTTGGAATGCATTATTGCCCTGTTCGCAATGCAGCGAGCATTGACCCCGAACTATATGCTCATAATTCATGATGTATATGCAATAAGCTTTAATTACACCTAACACACTCCAGCATCAAACACTGGTTTTCGAAAAGGACAAATAACATGACAGGAAAAACCCGCCTTTGCACAAATATAACACATGACGGTAGGTGATTGAAAATGAATAACACAACTGTTTCATTATCAGTGGGCTAGGAAACTAATTATGTTTTGAACCACGATGATTAGGAAGATTGCAAATAAACTCAAAACGACTTATGCAGATTAGTTTCACGAACACAATTTTGCCTTCGGCGCGTGCAGTCCAACTGACGAACCTTATTTATATGCTACAGTTAAAAGTCCAGTGCGTCTTCTCAATAAAATGAACAGATGCAGATCAAAAATGTGTCGTAGTTTAGTTTCCGTACAATATCATTTTAATAGGCAACCAAGCGCGGTTTTATTTCTATCAACAGTGATACCCATTTGGCAGGTCTTGTCACGTAATGGAGAAATATCGCACAGCTTAACAGATATGTTCGACAGTAAAAGATGCTTTGGCATGGTCTAAAGGGCAGCTAAGCTGAGAAAAGAAAAATAACAGCCACTTGTGCAAGCAGCCAAGTAAACGAAGCAATGCATGGAATCCTTTTACCATTAGATAAGGACCCTGGCGTTCGCCTTAGTCCACCATCAAACGTATTTGGTTCTACAAAAAAATATCCCCAAGTCGGTCACACCAAGCAGCTACTAATATGTGAATGAGTGAATGTATTTGTAGCCTCTCGAGTCTTCCCAGTAAGTGAGGTTGGAAGCATGTATTCCGAAGAGGTCAGAGAAAATGGGTCTGAGCATGGCCCGAGGCCCATGACAAATCCCAAAAGTGAGCGCCAAAAGTCAGGTAGTCACGCAACCTAAGCATTATAGTATTTAGCCCTCTCAAACGCCTCATCTGGAAATGAAGGATCTTATGGCCTAAAATCAGATACCAGAGTCAAGTGAAATTGCTTGTTTATTTGACTATCTGTATGATTAGCGGTCAATCCGGTACTCATGTTGCTCCAAGCTGAGTAAGCTAGTCTTGAAGCCTAGGGAGGGAGACTACCCTCCCGAGGCTACTTATAGAATGGAAGAAGGCAGTGAAGCTGGATACACGTATTCCAAATAGGAAAAAGCAACGAGGCCTGAGCATGGCTTGAAGGCTGGCTCATGAGTACAAGGGCCAGACAAATCCTCAAGTGACCGCCGAAAGTCAGGTAGTCACATAAACAAAGCATTACATATATCTGGCCGAAAATCTTTAGTCGTTACACATACGGCCGGTTAAATTATCAAATTATTACAATGCTAGCAATCTTATCGAAATTGACTTTGCGTTGTCGTCCCCTCGAGCAGGAGGGAGTTCAACTCTTCATACAGGTTGACCCTCAAAACTATGACTGGTCCAGTGTAACAGACTAAACGTTTACTGCAAGATCGACATGGGTGAAGCTTCCGCTTATGAAGATTTTGATTGTCAGCCATGAACATGATTTTAATCGCTTGTCCTGGCGTTATCTCGAATGCAAACGGCGGATTGTAGATTCTGTCCTCTGATTGGTAGAGACACTCGTTAAGATTTGCATGGTGATTTGTCGTCTGGAGGAGGTCCGGTCCCTCAGCTTTCAAACGACGCCACTGAACTAAAGTCGATTTGTTAACCCAGCTATTAGTCAGTCTTTGATCAACCAAAAAAGGCTGCTTGATTCTTTTTGATAATGCAACTGTTGGCGAAACGGATGCATCTACATATGTATAGGAAAGCGTTACAAGTGAGAAATGTAAGACTAGAGATGTTTGCCTTGCTACTCTCAAACCCTATGCACGAGGAGGGCGGAATGTCACTTTGGTTGGTGCTACTCCTGACCTATCGTGGGTTCTGCAATTTTTGATAGTACCGTATATACTATGCAGGAGTAAGAGCAGCTCTTCCATGTATTCATCTGAAGAAAAAGGAACACATTATGCCTGAGCACGGCACGTATCCTCAACGCACAGTGAAGCTTGGAGCTATCGGAATGGTCTGGAGGCACAGTGATAAGGATCTGAAGCAACCTCCAACAAAAACACTTGATACAAGCATAAAAGTCCACTGGGTTACTGGCATGATAAAGTGTTGCATAAGTGAACTATGATGCGAACAAGATGTCCTTAGACATTCCTGAAGGCTACTGCATGGCTGACGCATAAATAGTGACTTGAGTTGATGGAATAGTCTGAAAATCAGGCTGAGGCGAGCATAAAATAACGGAGTTTCAAGCCTTTCATCGCTAAATCCGAGTTTCAAACACTACAAATGGAGTGCATAAAAACCTGGTAATGCATTGATACTTGCCAATGGTGCATTGCTAAATTAGGATTAACGTGCCAAAACAAAAACGTCACAGCAATATTGTTTTTCACTGCCTAAAATGGTGGTGAGCCCTGTGCTGTGCTGGCCAGCTACTCACTTCTAGTGGGAAAAGTAATTTGTAGTCTTAGCAAGCATATGTATCATTTTTTGGCGTATAGGCGTCATCATCTTTTATGTGACACGTGCTTGAAATGTACGCCCACCATGCAAATGCAAATCAGCGATTCATGATCATGCCAGCTCCGTTGTGATACCAAATTCAAGCTAAGTTTTAAGAGAAGTGCGATTTTCTAGTTGTCCGTTAAGTGATGTGAGAGCACCACGCTTTTTGTACAATGTTGGTTTTGTCCCCGTATACCAACACATTTTAACTAATCAGTGTCAATGCCTCTTCACATGCAGCTGGTGTTGGCATTAAGAAAGCATTGCTGTAGGCAGGAGGGTGTAATCACGTAAGCATAATAGTAGTAGGATCTAATTTGGCAGTCGCGTACGTTTGAAGTTGGAACTCAAACGTGTATGATGTTCGTGTTGAAAGCTAATTCCGAAAGGCGTCGTCGCATTAATAAGTTCACAAAGTCCATGTGAATTCAAGATAGTCACGTGGAGTTAAAGACAAACAAATGAACTCCTCCTTTTACTACACCACGGCAAAACACTACTACCATGACAACACTCGATATAGTTCGAATTATTTGCCTTGCCTCTCACCTTGATAACGGACAAATTAGAGTCTGATGTAGACTTCAAGATAGGCGTAAAGTTTTTAGAAAAGTGCTTTGAGTTCCGATAGACAAATTTGCTGGAGTTTTTCAATTCGAAACATTCTATGAAATGGTGGTGAAGTAGTCATTTGCTTCCAGTGAAGCAAGGTGCATCCCCATTGGATTTGAAATATGCTCTTTAAGGATTAAAACCCTTTAAAAGGCAAAATAATTGAGCTTACCGCCTCTAAATATGATGCAAAACGAAACAAGCAGTTGATGCAACGCATCGATGAAAGTTAAGGATCTATTATAAAGGTAGCGATTTTGTCGCCCTGACTTGTGAGCTGAGACATCATCGGTATGACTCCAAGACCCTGCTTCCTGGTATAAAAAACGCCAAAGAAAAGCATATGAATCAACCTCGTCGTTCAACCAATTCGCTTGCATCCGAGACTGGATCCAGCTACACATCAACAGAATCTTCGTACATTTCCAATGGGCTTGGAAATTCGTATTTTTTGGGACCTGAACTGGTGCGTGGTGAAATACACAGGCAATTATGTCCAGTCATTCGGAAAACTAATAGTCTAAAAGTAAAGTTTAAAAATTCTCACAAGTATAGGCTTCAAAGGCTGTTGCTAATTTCAGTGCCGCCCAGCCATATCTAACCGGAGTTCAGTCAAACCACCAGACATGGGGCGTGTTCACTACGCTGGAGCCCTTATGCAAGTATTGTAAGGAACTTTGTCAGAAAAATAAGATGATTGTAGAGGACTAACAGCATTTTCAATGCTTCTGTTGCCAGTGGCTATTGTACACGTAGCAGATAGGCTTTTCCGCTAGGCCAAGGTCGAGTACTGCGAAACCTCTTCCAAAGTGAGTGAATACATATTAGCAGCACGCTGACGGCATGAGAAACCACCATGCCCTCCAAACCTTACTCGTCAAAAAGCGATATTAAACAAACACGCGGCATTGCTTTAAGCTAGGCAATTCCGAGCTCTATAACTCACCTCAAAGTAACTGTACAAGCTAGTAGAGGGCAATCAGAACTTTCGTCCTGAGCAGACATTTAAAACTATTTGATTATGCTAAACAGTACCAAATATTAATGTCACATCACTTTTCATTCACATTTAGATTCACCAAGTCTTGATGCGTATTTGTGTGCTAGCTAAAAATATGCAATGCAGAATAGACCCGTAACTAATTTTAGTCATCATAAACGTAATTTTTTGACGCAGTCTTGCATGTAATTTGCAGTGACACTTGTTCCTCACCAATAACCCCAATTCCGATCACGTGAAAATACCTTACCAGGTAAATCAACGAAATGACAAAGCGTATTCAGGTGTGAGGAAGCGTTAGGACAATATTCACCTCGGCTCGTCTACATTGGCAGCAGATCTGCAACTTGTTCAGCGCAAAGTAGTCAGACCCACTGAAAAAAAGCAAATCTTGCTCTACTTCATGGCAACGTAGTGCATTGCGCGTAATCCATTGCGTCAGAAGAATCACTAACCTCTACTTGTGCTTGCGCGACTTAACCCGAATTTATAAGCATGCGCATAGCTAGATCGCATCGCACGCACCATGTGACGGTGGCCTTATCAATGACTATTAAGTGGAAGCATTGCTCCAAAAGTGGTAACAGTGGGTACTCGCCGTTCGAATGACACCAAATTCATCAAGTTGACTGAAATTACCACCAACATCCAAAACCCAAAACAAATGCATTCATTCGTGCGTAGGTGAAAGCACGACGCACCCACTCTGACGCTGCCAGGCGGCATTTACGTGCTACTCCACCTTCACGAGTATTGGTAAACAGAGACTTCCCAAAAGACTAACATGTGTGTTGTGAATAGGAGAAAGAATAAAAACAAAAGATTGGTTAAACTTCTGTCCAATAACGATAATCACAACATAGGGAAACCGAACAGGTCGGATTCAATAGAAAAATCCACGACAAGAACAACTCGAGCGATGAAGGGAAAAGGGGGAGAATGGAAAGTCCATTAGTGAAGCACAGTTAGATTGGAACAAAAACAGGAAACACCAGTCAAACGAGGGACGCATCCAAGGTAGGCCAAGTTGTTCCATTTCAGTCCCTGCTCATCACTCCAAAGAGCGAAAGGAAAATCATAAAGAGGTTGACCACATCGCAATACAGCTGCATCGCACCGTAGATGTACTCCTCCGGAGACAATTCGTGTTTTCGACCACCCATGATCATCTGTGTGTCGTAGCCCAGATACTAGAAATTGAGAATGCAAAATGATACCACTGATGGATGAGGAAATGGGTTACTCTAGAACATTCGTTAGAGCAGGAACGCGCAGCTCAAATATCTGCTACAGAGTAGTTCCAAAAACACATTAGAATGTGCTAAAAATGCACCAGCATCCACTTCACAATTAATACTTTCATTAGACTCCATTGTTTCGAAGTAGAACAGTAGAACGATTGGAGGAACGAATACCAGATTCCGCGATTCGAAACAATTGCATTAAATTAACCCAACAGTAACAAAAACGATGCAACCAGCAGTGAGGACTCATGTAAGCGCTTCTGCTGTTCTCCTCATGGTGGGAGCAAGCTTGCATCAGGGTGATCTGGGGTCGGATGTGTTTAATGCAGATGGGCAAACAAAGCAGAACACAAACAAATTCAACCGACAAAGATAAGGTTTGTAAGAATGAGCGATACCTTTTGGTAGAATAGCCTGCCATAAAACTGAAAGAAATCCTCAAAACGTACAAGCACACATGTATAACCCCATTCAATTCACTAAACGAAAGGGTGACTTATCATATTCCGACGATTCTAAACAAACCACGGCAAACAAAACAGACTAAATTACTGAATGAATCCCAAAATGCGATAAAACGGCAAAACACTAGTGCGGTAAACTGAGATTTCACTCAACGAAGCGTGACATCGCTTCAATTGAACCACTTTTGTAAAATATTTAGTAGCAGGTGGGTAAAGGGGAGGAGGCAGTCCATCACTCCGTCCTCTTTGCTTGATCCTAGTCGTTCTGACCAAAAAGACCCAGGAAAATCATAAACAAGACGGCGACATCCAAATAGATCTGCATGGCTCCAAGGACATAGTCCTCTTCAGACAGTGCAAGTTCCCGATTTCCCATGATTAGCTGCGTATCGTAGGCCAAATACTGCAAAAAATTTGAGGAGTGGAATGAATGAGATCACACAGTCCCTAAAATGGTAGCACTACCTTTTAGCACGCATGAACAGCTTGATTAATAAAGACTCCTAAAGTGTTTGCGGTAGCGCAGCGTAGATACCCAACCAGTGAAATATGTTCTAAAGTTCTTCTCACCTTAGAAATAATTAAACTTTGTACACGTATTGACATTCATCATAAGCTTCTTACAGTTACTGTCAAATACCAGTCAAAGAGAATGAAAGACTTACAATTGTAAAAATCACGGCGGCAATGCCTCCGTAGACGGCATACAGAGTCTGAAATGAAGTCATTAATTATATTACTATGAGTAAGGATTATAGAAATGAAATATGAAGCAGGTTATTAGCATAAAATGATGATAATGTGCTTAACCGCACGTATTTGTAAACAACAAGTTTAAGACTTGTTAGCCGGGCTAAACGAACTTAGTAATTTGAATAAAGGCACAGAATGAGCGCCAACCTGATTGTACCCAGCAACGAAGTAGGTGATCATAACAGCAATTCCAAATATGAATAGAAGGATACTGAGGAAGGCGATCACCGCCTGACATTTGGTGATATCACAGGGGCAGCAAATGGCCGCAATAGAGACTGAGACGCAGACACCCAGAGTTATAAGGAGACATACAAGAACGGAGCTCACTGTGTACATAGCAGACAGGGTGCCTGCCATGTAGGCCAGCGCCAGGGTCTACACAGTAAAAGGCAAATGAAAATCAAGCGTGGACAAGTGCATAGTCCAACCAGCTGTACCAGAATTACATACTTTCGTTGCGTAGACTTTTTCCATTCAACCACAGCATGGACTTATGATTAGGGAGCCATCTCTTGGAATATTTAGTGAAGTACAATATGAGAAGCATCTATAAAGAGCAGCTTCATGTAGAACTCACGAAAACACCAAGGGCAATGAAGTTTCCAGGAAATTTGCGGCGTATATTGCCACAGCAGGCTAGTGCAATATAGGTGGCGAAGAAGACAGCACTACAATAGAATATTCGTGCCTTTTGGATGCATCAAATATTGTAAGATGTAAAGGCACACACAAAGCTGGTGAATGAGTTGTCTGTCGGACAGTAGCCCGAAGTGCCGTGTAGGATAAGCAGTCAAGGGAAAAGTCAACACACTAAAATCGGATAATAAGGCCATAGGTATCTACAATCAGGCCAGCACGAATACATCTGTTTATCCACCTAAAATGATTTATCAGTAGCAGTAGTTGGTACTGCGCCTTGAACCACGCCAGATGCGCATCGCCCACAGGTGGGAGATACTGCATCGTAAACAGAGCCTACTTCAGAGGCTTTGATAATCAGTAGCAAAGATAATGGGGTTCCTAAGTATCTAAAACTAAGTGCGATTCCGGAAAATTAAAACAGCTAATTGGGACTAATAGAGCAACAAACTGTAAGTAAACAATGGTAACTCACTATGCCAAGTAGTAAAACCAGGTATTTCGCCGGACCCACGCCCGAACAGGCGGACTATAAAAAATGTAAAAATCTAGGAAAGGATTAAGCGTAAAAAGGAGATTTTGGTACATAAAATGTTGCCACACCACATGAATTAGCAAAGCACAACGCTTCATCAATAATTATGCTAACAAAATCATCGAGTTTAGTAAGGCTAACCTTGATGAGATAAAACAGCTACTGCTAAAATTATCACTTTCCATCCTAGAGGTGCCATGCAAAACAATTCGCCTGTGTCCATAACTGATAATAATCCAGATTGCAAGGAACTTATGTACTAGTTAAAAGATAAACCGAAATGGAGTAGTTTTTGGTACGCGTGGTGTACACATGACGCAAACCTGAGTGGGCGAACGTCCGCTGCGATTAAACACAAGCATTACAATAAATTAAAATCGACGTCTCCATGGTTCCATCTCGTAGATGCGCGTAGGCGGATAAAAGTATTTTGAAAGTCATCTACACCACAGGAGACGCGCTGGCTACTAACAATTCTTACTCAATTAAGTAAACTTAACGAAAGGTACCAACTTCAGAATAGTATTGTAGGACAATATCAGAAAAAGCCAAAAAATAACCCACACTAGCGTAAACATGGCGACAATTGCAGCTGTTACCAACAATTGGACGGCCAGTATGGAATAAACCTAAAAGCAAAACAATTCAGTCAAATAAAAAGCTGAAATGAATAATGGAAATCAAAGTGCTAAAGATCCACTCGTGATAAAATTAGATTAGTCAGAAATTCAAGATAAAACAACCCTGATCAGCAAAATAACTGCCAATCTAAAGGACGGTATATAATCATCCTTAAACTACAGATTCCTTCGAGTTTTGAGATGATGTACACAACAACTTACCTTCCCAATGAATCGACGTCTGATGGCCTTGTCACTAAAAGGTGATGCAGCGAACTCGTTGTCGGTAAAGTTACCTCCATCAGGGTCGTTCTGAGTTGGTGTGTAAGCTAGTAAAGCATGAGAATAGGATATGGACTAAACAAAACTTTGAATGTTGTGACCAATGCCGAAAAATGAGAAGGCAATGAAAGTTTGTTGGATTTTCCCCGTTACAAAGCGCAAAAACGTAAAACAGATCCGAAACAAGGCATAATGGGGCAACTGTTAAAAAGCGCAGAGCATGGATTAACAGTGGATGGTATTCTATAGGGTGGTCCTGTGCAAATGCCGACCCTACAAATCAGCAAGCATGCGAAACTGATGCTATGAAACTAACTAGTGCCGTAGTTTGAATAGAGATGTGTTGAGGCAGAGGACGCCAAAGCTGTTTCGCGCGTGCATTTACCGGGTTAAATTATCAAAATCGCTCAAAGACGATGCATGAGATGCGCGAAATTAAGCCAAGTGCGACAACCATAAGAGCGAAATAGTCAAGTCGAAAATATTGAGCCAACGAACTCCCAATCAAACAAAATGGTTTTGTTAGGGTAGGCAACTCATGCTGGATTTGAAGGCCACATGCATAAAAGGAAACTTAAGTTAGTTCAATTGATAGCAAATTATTACACATCAAGTAAGGGCCCACAACGGCGTGCTCTTAATGTGAGGTTTAAGAGAGAGCCAGCAACCAAATCTGGATAATTATGCGCACACAAAGTTAGGAAGCATCGTTTAAACGGTACAAGTTAGCATTTCGTCGAACAAGATATCCTGATATGTGTTAAGACTATGAGAGGAGTTAACGCAAACTGCGGCACAGGCCAGATTATTAACGAATTCGAAATAAATTATCAGCGAGTACGCATAGAATACCCACAAAAATCACAATTAAAGAAATGCTGTTTTAACCGATAGCAAGTTATGTCTTCATCGGATGTGCTCTCCATTACTTTGAGAAACGACACGCTTTTATGCCTCTGAACGAAAGTGATCTCAATGGATAGAATGATTTTCTTATTAAAAATAGCGTGAATTATGCACCTATACTCTCCGATGGTTGGCTATATTACTAGATAATGTAACCCGTCCACTAATTAAACGATAATAAATTATAAAAAAACAAGCAAAGTGCTAGAACGGTTAGTACAGTTAAACTCCGATAGTGGAAGAAGTAAAGCTTACTTCCATCGCCTAAAATATAAGAAATTCAGCAGCTTCAACAATGAACACCATTATAGACGAGAAAAAGCGCACATGCCACGAGACCTGATGTCAAATAAATAATGAGACCTAATTCCTCTCATTACTGGGAACCAAAGCAATGTTAGAGATTGGCATTAGCTGGTTACGTCCACTCCTATTGACGAAGTACAACATCTCGCCACTAAAAAGACCACCTCCATAATTCAGAAATAATAAGAACCGGGCTTAAGGAATGGTCCTTGAAAGTCGCCTGTTCAAAACTCGAATGTATTCATGCAGTTGATTCAAATCACAATAATGACCGCCTACGCAATCCACATTTGGGCCAGCATGATGAAATCATTCGCTTAGATTACATCTATCTAGGGTAGTAAAGTTCATTACAACTTTGTAGAATCATTCTTGTAGTGTGATATGCCACGTCAGTTCCACTATTGCCACATCAAAGAGTAAGTACCGTCCAATAGACAAAAATTACCAAAAACGATGAAGCAATGAGTATCTACAGCCGCTGCACTATCTAAACTAAGGCAAGCCGGTGTAGGAAATGTGAAGACCAAAAAGCAGCAAATTTAATGAACTTCCTGTAGTAAGTGAGCCGAGTTATAGAGTGCGTAAGATTGTTATGGTTGTGATACCTTCTCTCGATGTCATGGAATCATATCCTTGACCTACCGAGGACATTAAAATGAAAGTGACAGACCTGGAGTCCACCATCAAACAACGAAAAATCGAGTAGATATAAAACTTTTCGCCAGTTTGAGCGCGGAAGGAAACGTAAGAGCAGCCAACAATGCCAGTGAGGGAAATAAGACGACATTGGAAAGTTATTTAGGAGGTCTAGACCAAACAGAGTCCTCATGAAATGGGAACACAAACATGCTAAAAATAAATGCGGTAAACGACCCAACAAAACCAATTAGCTACTCATTCCTGCCCACCAACCCTAACAGAATCGAGTGTTAATATCAGCGCAACCGTTTGTGTGCAGGTGATGATAAACGAATCCAAAACACGTACACATACAGGTAAATCGAAAAGCTCTCAGGCAACACAAAAAGAACGTGTAGCAAAGAACGAAGTGAAACTCTGACATACCAACCATGTATACAGGATAGCCATAGCTACCAGCTGATAAGGCAAATATGGTAATCGAAAATCGAGCACAACAGAGCACAACATCACCACCATAACATAAAGTAACCTGGCACACGAATAGGAGGTACTGGGTAACCAGGGGGAGGAAGACCTGTAAGCACCAAAGCGTGGGAAATGGGTGAAAATACAAAGCTCACCATAAAACCACAATGAAAAAGAATTTCTATAAAATGCATACCAAAATAATGGTGCGTAAAAATCGGAACTAGATGGCAAACACCTACCGCCATATCCAGGCGCCTGGTATCCTAGATAATTTCAAAACAATATACTTTGATCCCACAGATATCGACACATGTCAAAGGAAAACACAACCAAAATGAAGAGACGAATTAGGAAAAGAACAACTGTAGGGAAATAAAGCATCTACGCACCAGGCTGCTGAAAACCCGGAGGGTAGGAGGGCGGCTGCTGAGGGTAAGCTGGATATCCTTAAAAAAGCAATCAAAGGAAAAAATGCACCGAACCCTGCGGTTGACCGCTAGGAGGGACATAAGGTGCTGCCGGAGGTGGAGGATAAGACATCTGCGTAGAGACACCAAATGAGACGAAGGATGTCAGGCAAAGAGACCGCTCAAGTCCAAGAATACAATAACAATGCACATCTCGTCGAAACTTAATCTGAACGACTTAAACAAACGCAAAATACATAAATTTTACCATTTTAAATCATCAGCTGCAAGTTTAGATTCTTTTAAAAAGGCTTTAGTCTATAAAATTGGGTTAAAATGCTGAAGTGTTTTGACACATCAGTTCAGATTAAAAGGCATAACAGGTGTTGCAGGAACTGCCTGTCTGCCCTCGAACTTCAGAAGAGTTAGTTGACGAAGCTTATTAGGCATAGCGTGCAAAAAGGAACGATGTGAACGTCACCGTAAGAGTGAACCTCCAACCAAATCGGACTCTTATTCGAATTACTTTCGCGATTCCCACCTATGTATAAAGGAACTGATTGTAGTGATCCAAGGCTTCCCATAGGGTGGAAGAAGGCATAAATGAGGTTGGATACATGTATTCCAAGGACGACAGAGCAAATGGGGCCTGAGTGTGGCCCGAAGGCCAACCCATGTGTACAGGGGCCAGACAAATTCTAAGTGACCGCAAAACGTCAGGTAGTCACATAAGCAAGGCATTACACTACCTATAACATATACTAGATTGTTTAGGTGGACTTTCATAGGAGAGAGGCGGGAACCAATTGGGAACTCGAATCACGTGCGCGAGTATGGTGAGAAGTCTCTCTCCAGCTGATATCTCCTATTTGGACCATCTGCATCCCAATCCTTATTCTTCCTGTACCAAATGCCAAATAAATCATCTGAAACCAACCCTCTCTTGAACTCCCCGTTTTAATAGCAACACGACATTATGTTGATGAGGATGATATACTTTGGAAAGCTAAATCAAAAAGGGCTGAGGGATAAAGTAAAGTTGCAAGCACAAAAAATTGTTTTAAACGAAAGAATGTGAAGGCAACACCGACTTCGACCATCTTTTGTGCCTGTAGTGCCTGGACACTTCCCACTCCTAAAAGACATCAAGTGGAACTGATTACGTGTGTTCTAAGGTAAAAAATAGGGTTGATCCTTAGCTTGGTCCGAAGGCCAGTTTGCGGGTACAAGAGCAAGACAAAAACAAAGTTATCCCCAGACAACAAGTAGTTACATAATCAAAGTATCACAGTGCCACGTAATTTTATGATAACCTGAAACATCAATTATTTTCCAGAAGATCGGTGCAGGACTTCCCAGCCTATCCTCAGGACCATAAGCCTCTGAGTTCGCAAGAGAGTTGGTTGGGGTGGGTTTATTTGCATCTTGAAAGGGAAAGGAGAGGGGAAAAATCGATGAAACAATAAACCAATATCACCTTCGCCTTCTTCATGAAACAGATTCGTGTCCGAATTGCGTGACCGCCTATCTCCTAAAAGATCAAATTAAAAATTAGCATATATGTAGTCAGTCTGCTCTTCTTAAGGCCTACGTACGACTGAAGTGTTTACAAACAACTTTGTTCATTCGACTACCTGTAAAGCTGACGGTCACTTTGGTGTATACTCGACTTCCGTCGGATGAGCTGGTCTTCAATCCATGCCACTCTCCCATTGCAAGTACTCGACCGTGCCCAACGCCTTCTATTACCACATGGGATTACCATATGGAAAGGTCTCCGGGCACTGCACTGCTTGCAATGCAATGCGAACTCAACTGTATTACCACCATCGTGAACCATCTGGAAACACCTAATTCTTGAGTGCTAGTTACCACGTTCGCGTATGGTGTCCGCTATGGCATTCCATAGAGGATTGCGGTATATCCCGATTCCCATGTTGCGCATCTGTTTTGGGTCAGCGCTCGGACGTCCAGTCTGGGGCACACATGATGGTCAACAAAAGTTCCCGACTCTGATTCCGGTTTTAAGGTCCAACGTAATGCCAAATCCAATTGAAAATGCTGCGCGCTTCATATGCATTCCCTCAATCTCGTGGGAGCCGATGACTGGCGCAGTTTGCAAATGGATGTTTGTTTGCTGAATTGGATACGTTGTGATGGTTGACGCAGAAGGTGGATCAAAGCAAGTACTGAGAGTGTCGACCAAATGCCAAGGGATGCACTTTTGGTATCTGGCGATGGGTATATTACTCGTCTCGCCATTGTGCGCATTGTCTGTCCTTCAGGCAAAGGCAATCCATTCTTATCTTCATAAAAAAGAATGCATCCAGCTTAACTCTACGCCTTCTTCTACCTAATAAGAAGTGAGTACTTGTGCGAATAACAGCCACTTTGGTGACCGTACCTTCTGTCGTGTGGGCTGGCCCTCAGGCTAGGTCATAGCTGTAGGGCTATGAGAAAGACATTATGTTAAGCTGAATACATGTATTCCAGGTGGGAAGGATGGCGTAAACCTGAGTTTGACCTGAAGACCAGCCGCTGCTAGCAGTGTAGTGTACCGGGGTTTCTCACAGGGTGAAAGAATGCATGAGGTTGAATACATGTATTCCGAAGACGGCAGGGCAAATGGGCCCTGAGTGTGACCCGGAGGCCAGCCCACGTGTACATGGGCCTAACAAACTCTAAAGTGACCGCCAAACGTCCGGTAGTCACATAACCAAAGCATCACACAGCCCTCTCATAAAATAACACGATGACTACTAAATTAACCGCCAGATATCAGGTGGCCATATAAACAGTATTGCAATAGTCTTATCTCTGCTATTCCTTTTGAATACAAGTAAATAGCCATGCCCATTTCCATCAAAACGGTGGTCTTAGAAATACAGCTAATAAATCAAGTCAGACTTTATTCCTTTTCACTACCTCAAATACATGCATTAAGCTACTTTAAAGCCTTCTTCCATTTTGTGGGAAGTCTCGAGATGCTACCCTAAATGTTACCGATGCCTCCAATTCCTTTGCTAAGTGATGTAATACCAATAAGGTTTTCAATTATAAACGCCTTTAGAGTTCAATATATTGTATATACCTAAATAATATAACCTGAATTAAATGTTGCGTGTATGGCTATCTGTGCAACAGTAAGCCTTGCAATAATAACAACACAATTTAAGCTAAGATACACATAGATACTTATTGATTTTTCTGCTGCTTCTTCTGTTCACCTTTTTCGTTGTTTGTTTGGATCTTAAGTCATTTGTTTGAATTAGTTGTTGCCCCACGTGCGGCACATTTGGTTGTCTTGAGTCATGGTTTGGACTTTTCACTTAATGCTTTATCTTAGGGCGTTGATATAAGTCACAGAGACAAGAGGAAGGTTATTCGTAGGAATCCCAAGAGCGGTGATGTTTACCTGCGTCTGCTGGTCAAGTTGTACAAGTTTTTGGCCAGGCGTACGCATTCGAAATTCAATAATATTATAAAGCGTCGTCTTTTCATGAGTCGTATTAATCGAGCTCCTCTTTCACTTTCACGGCTGTCAAGGCAGATGAAGAAACCTGGTCGTGAGGGCAAAGTCGCTGTTGTTATTGGAACTGTCACTAATGACATTCGTATGCGTGAGGTTCCCAAGTTGACGGTGAGTTTCACTACTTCCTTGTGTAGGTCGCTTAACTGTTTGTTCATTAGGTCAGGTATACTTTTATGAGTGTCGATTTTTGTACATTGATAGGTTTTCGCCCTTCGAGTGACTGCTGGGGCCAGAAACAGGATTTTAAAGTCTGGTGGTAAAGTATTGACCATTGATCAGTTGGCTATAAAGGCTCCACTCGGCAAAGGTACTGTGCTTCTCCAGGGACCTAGGAAGGCGCGGGAAGCTTGCCGTCACTTCGGTCCCGCCCCCGGTGTTCCTGGAAGTCACACAAAGCCGTATGTTATTTCAAAGTCCCGCGAGCGTACCAACGCTCACCGAGCCTAATCTTTGCGAATATATGTTCGGTGATACAATTCACTTTTGAACTTCCAAGGTAGCTGTTTGGTATACTTGTTTGTCTAAGGTAGTTGAGTAGTTCTAAGCCTGGGGTTTGTTGGAGGACCGACTTCGACGGGAGTACGAGGAAAGTATATTTGGTAAATAAGTTGGTAAACAAATATCTTCGAGGTTTGTGCGAATGTCTCGCAATAACAGAATGACTCAGAGGCGAAGGGACATCGTTTAATTACCAATTGGCAGGATTTAGTTTTAGCTTGTAAAGCTTTAGTTTGAACCCAAGAATTTCCGAAATGAAAGCTGAGAAGCAGGAGAGGAGGACCAGTTTGAATACGTTGTAGATTAGTGGGTTCACTGCCCATCCACAGATGCGGTAGGGACCGTCAACTTCCTTGAGAAGGTTTTCTGCCAGTTTCAGGACTTGGTTTGTTATCGATAATTCCTCCTTCTTGTGTGGTTTTCGATTCATGCATAGGTTGAGATTCATCTGATGGTGCAACAAAACGGGAATGCTTAGTTACTGGTTGCTGTACGTGATAAATATCATGGGGGAAACAGGTAATGAAGAAGGAACTCGTGTGTTCGCGACGTGCAAGTCCTAGCAAGCCGGAGAGGTTCTGAGCGATGAATAACGAACGATGTTAAGTTGGAGCAGAATGCTCGACCGGAAATTAAGTTAGGTGAGGTTGTTAGGGAGATCTGCTAGCCATGTAAGAGCATTTGGTGGTGCTTCTGAATGTGTGTGACTTCGTTGAGTCGTAACTATCTCGACAGTATTGCTCACCTGCTCGGTGATGAGGATGGAGATGTTGCGGAACTTTTTCGTGATCTTAGTTCCTAAGGTGAGGAAACGGAGGAGAAAGAAGCTTAGTGCTGCTGTGTAGGCCAAAATATCCCACACGGCTAGGCTGGAGAACACGCCACCGCGTCGGCTTGGATTACTGATCAGGAACTGAGGCAGAAAAAAAACGGATAAAATTGCTGCAGTTTGCATGATAATGGCTGTTTTTCATGGTATTCCATGAGAAATCATGCTATAAACAATGTTTTAGTGAGCGTTATTCAAGGAGAAGCAGAATAGGGTTAAGCAGGAAAGCACGCACCCTAGCGCAAAAGAAGAGGCCAAAAGCGAAGGCAAGGTAGAATGTAGCAGTGATTATACACTCGATGGAGCGTTGCGGTCCTCGCTTTTTGAGGTACGAGCGAAGTGTTAGCCAACACTTTACGTGAGCCACCTTGTTCAATCGAAGGTGAGGGATGCGACATCTACGAGCTCGATGACTTGAAGTTAGAGCAAAGAAGTGCTTTGCATACAGAAGTCGCTGAAACAACGTGAAATTCGTAGAAATGATACTAACGCAAATAGAACTTAGCATGCGCAATAAATTTAGTAGAAGAAATTCTAGCATGATGGCTGCACCAATCTCAGTTTCTCTCTTCAAAATAGTGACATCGAAGTTAGTTCATCAACATTGAACGCTGGATGAAAGTCAGTATATTGGATTACAAGGTAATTAATTGGGCTTGACAGGAGAAAGATTTAGAGAACTTGGTCCCACATTCGAATGAGTTAACCAGGTTGGTCGTTGTAGAAGACGCGTTAATTTACCAGGTCTGGAGATATACTTAGGAAACTTCGAAAACTAGAAATGAAAGATTAAACTCACATCGCGAAGGATTTTGAATGCTTTTTCACATTGCAGTTAAAAGTAAATTACAAAAGTCAGGTGATGAACGCTCACTTGTTGGAATGATCTTTCAGCCACGGAAAGTAGAAAGAAGATGACTATGTAGATATTGAGACGGAGCCAGATCCCAAGACCAATAACAACATTATCCCTAAGAAAAGGAAAAGAGGAATGGATTCCAATGTCAACAAAAGAGTTCAAGAGGGGATCGAGCAAAAAATACACCTACAGTTTAGTAAGTCGAAGCCAGGAAGTTCCATCGACAAGGCCATCGGAGGAGGCAAAGAAACAATGCGTTACAAAATCTGCAATCCATTGGTAAAGAAATACAATCAGAGTGCCGGGTGTGTCCAATGGGTTTCTTGAAGAGTCTACTTTTCGTCCTCCCATCTCAGCCTCAAGGAGAGGCCCAATGCTCATTGAAGAGTGAGTCGAGTGTGAGCAAGCCTGGCTTGGAGATTGCTGATACCAAGCGTGAAAAAACAGTGGCAACACAGCCAGTAGAAAGGCCACTATGCAAGAGAGTTTGGGGTAAAACATGGATACGGTCTGACGCTCGACAGCCTGTAGAAATAGGAAATTAGTTGCATCAGGAGTTCTAAAGAAGTTAGGGTCAGTCAAATGATGCGCGTCTTCCGAGAATGATGGACTGGCTACCAACCTTTATAACTTAGGTTTTGCTACCAGCGATGATTAGAGTTAATGGGTAAGCAAATAAAAAACAAAAGACGTGATAATTACTGACCTGTGAATCAAAGTTAACACGTGATAAAGCAATGGCGGGTAAATAAAGTCGAAATTGAGAGAAGTGGCTTTGTAGAATTCACAGCAAAAACAGGTTGCAGATGTTTGACACAAAAGAAGGTGCATGAATATAGCAAGATCTTAAATTGTAGTAAAAAATCTGCTAGAGAGTTCATTTTACGCCGGTGATGTATAAATAATGCATAATATTGAAATTATTCTTAACCAAAGTAATAATGAGGAGAAAAATAGGCGGCGTTGAGTACCTGAATGATTCTCCACCCGATATCCAGAAGGGTGAAATTGAGCTTTTTCATCTTCTTCCCCTCCCAAACATAACAGCAGACTACAAAAAAATGTAAGTGACCTAACACATGTAGAGAACTGAAGCTTCATACTTTGATGGTAAGTCGGGATCATGGACCCTTATAGCTTGAATAATAGGCACAATTTACTTTCTTCGAAGCTTAAATATGCTTTGGGTTACAAAAGGGAAGGATGAAACTGGATTCTTGTTCCCATGCAATGTCAAACACGTCTTGAAGCCTTTGCGCCGATTTTACGGAGCAGAGGCCAAATTTCCTCAGACCGGCCGTTTCTACCGCATGTCAGCTTGAAAGAAAGTAGAATTAGGTATAAAAGAATCGAGCAAAGAAGCATGCTTTTAGTAATAGCCATTTTTGTTAATTTTGTGGGTTG